ATCTTTAAAAAAAAAAGAATCAGCACACAAAAATAAATTGTACTTAGATATCCGCAAAAACAAATAGAAAAGGGAATTTTAAAAGTGATACCAGCTATAATTGCATAAAAATACCTAGGCATAAATCTAATAAAAGATGTCCAAGACCTCAACGTTCAACACTATAAAATATTATTGAAAGAAATTAAAGAAGATCTAAATAAGTGAAGAAACATACCATGCTCATGATTTAGAAATTTCATATTGTAAAAATGTCAATATTCCAAATCAACCTGTTGTTTCAATACAAAATCCCAACAGGTTTTGTGAGTGTAGAAAATGACAAGTTGATTTTTAAAATTCATATGGGGATGCAATAAGCCAAGAATAGCAAAGGCAGTCTTGAAGAACAAGAGGACTTGTACTACCCAATATAAGACCTATTATAAAACTATTTTAATTATAACAGAGTGGAATCAACACAACAGTAAGGCAACAAATGGAACAAAACGGACTTCAGAAGACATACACAGATGCTAAGGCATCATTAATGACAAAGTTGACACTGCAGTGCTGTGGGAGAAATGATGGTGTTTTCTATAAATAAACACCATCTAGATATCCACACGGGAAAAAATAATTTTAGCCCTTATCTTACACCATATGTAAAAAACAATTCTATATAGATTGTGGATCTGTTTTTTAAAAAATAAAGCTTTTAGAGGAAAACATCTTTATGTTCTCTGTGGAGTATGCCAAGATTTCTCAAATAAGACAAAAAATATGGTTACCATAAAAGAAAAACAATTGATATTTTGGACTATATTGGATATTTGGATTATAAAATTATTGTTAATTTTGTAATATTATAAAACTATTATAAATTTATAATATTATAAAATTAAAAACTTTCATTTACCAAAACACATGTTAAGAGTGAAAAGACAACTCACAGAGTGGGAGAAAATATTCATATTACATATATCTGTCAAAGGGTTTGTGTCCAGACTATATAAATAACTCCAAAAAATCAGTAACAAGAAGATGCATGTCCAGGTTGTTTAGTTTCCTATTTAAATGATACTGTCATAATAACCTTGTATATAAGTCAAATATGTCTGAAGAATAAATATCTAGAAGTGAGATTGCTAAGACAAAAGTATGTTTTTATAATTTTTAGAACTGCCTATTCATTTCCTTTACTCATTTTCTTAGTGAGTTGTTTCTTTCCTTCTTGTAAGTTTACAAAATCTATATTATTGCTATTAATGCTGTCATTGTCTGCACTGCAAATATTTTTTTCTATTGACCTTGTAGTTGGACTTTTAAAATTAAATATAATTTAAAATGCATAAATCTTAAGTGTAAAACTCCATTTTTTAATATTTGTGTAACACACAACCATCACCCAGATAAGATAAAAAATATATATGTATTTCTAGCACTTCAGTGCTGAAAGTCCTTTAGAGAATAATACTTGCTGCTTCCCTTCTGTCTCCCAAAGTGTCCTCCCCCAAGGTAATCACTTTTCTGACTTCTATCACCATAGATTTGTTTTGTTTGTTTTGAATTTTATATAAATGGAATAATACTGTTTGTATTCTTTGTGTTTGATCTTTTTTTGCTCAACACTACATCTGTAAGACTCACCTATTTTGTTGTCTGTAACAAGATTTCTTTTTCCTGTTGTTCAGTAGAATTCACTATGCAAATATGACACAATTTATATCCCCATTCTTTTGTTGATGGACATTTGGGTTGTTTCCAGTTTTAGGGTTTATTGTCAACTTGGTTTAAGCTAGGAACTGTTTCCAAGAATCATCTTCTCTGGATGGGTCTAGGCCAGAAAAACTTGAGTGAGATTTAGAAGTGGAAGTGAAGCAGTATGTATTACTTGGAGCAGTCAAAGACTGGGCAGAGGACATGGTTAAACACCTTGAACCACTAAGGCTTTGTCCTTTGCTGATGGAACTGTGTGTAGGGGAGTGCGTTCAAAGTTCAGGCTGTTTTCAAGTCTTCTGAGATTTTACTTTTTGTCAGGCCCTTTTTCAGTGTTCTGTGCACAAGCACATAGCCCCAGGGTTAGTCAGGAGTGTATGAATAGCTTGGGGCATCTCTGGTCCCTGCTGTGCATGTGCATAGCCTCAGCTAGAATGTCCTCTCCCCGGGCGCCTGGGTGGCTCAGTCGTTAAGCGTCTGCCTTCGGCTCAGGTCATGATCCCAGGGTCCTGGGATCGAGCCCCACATCGGGATCCCTGCTCCGTGGGAAGCCTGCTTCTTCCTCTCCCACTCCCCCTGCTTGTGTTCCCTCTCTCGCTGTGTCTCTCTCTGTCAAATAAATAAATAAAATCTTTAAAAAAAAAAAAGAATGTCCTCTCCCCAGCAAGGATTGCAACCTCAGGCTACCAGGGCTAAGCTCTTGGCTCTTCTCCACTGGCCAGCATCTGAGAGGTCACTTCCATGTAAAATGTTGCAGGGCATGAATGTCACCTACTCCTACAAATTGAATGAGTCTCCTTCATGAAGGCAGGGTAGGAGAGATATCAACCTTTTTAGAATACATTTTTATGGTATTTTTTTCCATTCTTGAGTTCTTAATTTTGACTCATCTCTTAATAAATTGGAAATTACTAAAGTAATTATTATAGGAATGATACGTGAAGGATATAATTCCTGAATTCTGACACATCTAAGAATGTCTTCTTACCAAACTATGGATAACATTTAATGTATACACCATAGGTCACACTCATATCCTTGTGCAGATGCAGCTTTCCTAACTATAGTGCTTTAGTGTAGTGTTATGGAATGGTTCAAACCCATTGATTTTTGTTCCTTTGTAGCCAACTTACTTTTCCTACTTGCAAGCATATATCATCATCATTTTCATCAAACCATTCAGAACAGGTAAAGTAAAATGATATTGTGCTTATGTCAAATAACCTTATTATAATAATCATTTCATAATATATATGTGTATCAAATCATCACACTGTACATCTTAAATTTATACAATGTTATATGTCAATTACATTTCAATAAAGATGGGGAAAGAGATATTTGCTTGGCATCACGTCAGGATCATCAAATGATCCTGGCAGAGAACCTCATATCTGGTAATCTGTCTCATCCATAGCTCCCTGTATTTTAGTGTCTGAAAAAACATCAAATGAGGAGATAGAGAGGCATGGGAGATATTATTTCATTCCTCTCTAAACCACTTATATTCATCCTTAAAGGGTATAGAGAATGATACTCTAGGTATTCAGACCATAAAAAAGAACGTATCTTTAAGAACGTGTTTCATTTATGGGGGAAATAATAAGAGGGAGAAAGGATGAGCTGTTTTGACTGCAAGAGGTATAGTTTGAGAACATACTGTTATGTAGCTGGCATTTTCAGCTCAGACCACCATGTACTCATTTCTGGTACAGTAATCACTAATCAAAGAAATCTTAGCATAATAAGTTTCAATAAAAACCATTATAATTTGTATTACTATGTTAAAATGATAAGCATGTTTTACTAGCTACTTTAAATATTTGAGCTTGTTTTAGTTAAGTAATAAATGACACAGCTGTGGTTCTCAGATAACTATTGATGAATAAAACAGATATAAAAATGAAGATAAAAACAGATTAGCTGAAGGTAGGCCAGAGAGAGGCAGGGAGAGAGAGAGAGAAGAAAGTAAGAGAGATTAAAACAAAAATTTAAAGATTAAAAAAAAAAACCCAAACTACAGAAATTCCTATGGTAAAAGTCAATTATGACAAACTTTTTTATTCAACTTCAACTGCCAAAACTTGGAAGCAACCAAAATTCTTTCAGTAGGTTAGAGAATAAGTAAACTTTGGTACATCCAGACAATGTAATGTTATTCAGTGACAAAAAGGAATGAGCTATCAAGCCATGAAAAAGACATGGAGGAAGCTTAAGTGCTTAAGTGAAAGAAGCCAGTCTGAAAAGGCAGCATACTGTATGATTCTAACTATATGACATGCTGTAAAAGGCAAAACTAAGGAGACAGTAAAAGATCAGTGGGCTGCCAGCATTTGGGGGTGGGAGAAGGAATAAATGAATAGGCAGAGTACGGGATTTTCAGGGTAGTGAAACTATTCCGTATGATACTACAATGGTGGATACATATCATTATAAATTTGTCAAAACCCACAAATTGTACAATACAAAGAGCGAACTCTAAAGCAAATATAGACTTTAGGTGATGATGTGTCAATGTAAGATTCATCAATTGTAAAAATGTACCACTCTGGTGCAGATGTTTATAGTGGATGAGGTTGTGTGTGGAGGGGAACAGGGAATATATGAGGATTCTCTGTACTTTCTGCTCAGTTTTGCTATGAATTGAAAACTGCTCTAAAAAGTGAAGTTTAATTAAAAAAAGAAAAAGAATTTAAAAAAGAAAAAAAGAACTTGCTGCTGGTCAGTGTCTCTCAACTATAATCTAATCTTTATCATTTTCTCCAAGTTCAAAAATACTATAGATGTAAATATTAATTATTTATCTACTTAACACAATTGTTTATTTTTTTAAAAGCAAAATTTTAAAATGACAAAAAATATGAGATACAAGAACAGTTTTTTTCATTAAAATGATTATCTAGCTTTACTTTTACCCTAAATTATAGCTTAATTTTGTCAAGAATTAAAGTATTCTCAACCAAAACTTAAGGACTATCAGATATAAAAGGCTCAGAGATATAATTAAAACCATGGGCATTTATTATAAATCAATTGCTTTGACATTTCACAATTGGGAGACAGCAGTGTTTTAAAGCAGAGCATTGAACTTGAACTCTAGAACACCTGATCTGCTACTTGTTAACTAATAACATGTGGGCAAGTTACCTAACGTCTGTTTTCTCATCTGTAAAACCTAATAAATGGAAAGCACATGAAAATGCTCATACTTTAAAAAGGTCAAAAATATAACATCAAATGAAAATTCTGAACCAAATTTAATTTCTTTTATCATCAAAAGTTAAGATACATTTTCTTCAGTATTAGGAATCTTTATTGTTAATATAAAATAAATTATCACGTCTTACAAATTTTATATTTATAGCTGAATGTTTCTTCAATCATCACTGTCACTTCCTGATTCACTCAGCTGCAAATCATTTCCTAGAATAAAAAATAGCAAAAGTGTAGTAATTAAGTATTTAATATTTTCATATTCAATATATTTACTTTTGGATAACATAAATATCATGTGAAATATGACACCATGGGTGATCCTGTTTAGCCAGCATTTTGTCATTAATAATTAGATTGCTTATCCTATAATTTAGTCACATCGTTGGTAATTCCCAAAATTAATACTGCTTGTAAAGAAAACATACACCATCAATCTTCAGCATAGTTTTGGTATCACCTGGCATCTTTTTTAGTCTTCTTTCACATACCAACACCACCTCTTCTGTTACTCCCACTGATTTAATTACATCAGGTAATGAGAAAAAATGTGGTTTAGAAGATCAGCCTAAACCATTTTGAAGAGTGGAATGTTATGCAATTTTGTACATAAAATTCAGTCAAAATATTAAATAGTGTATGTTAAGAGTAACTCATCCTTGGTTCTGTTTGTAATTCAATGATGTGCTTACAGCAATGGAACTTACATTCCAGTGGGGAAAACAGGCAGTAAACAAACAAATATATAAGATGATGCCAAGTAGGAATAAATACTATGAAAAATGAAGATGGGTATGAGAAGAGTGGTGAGAGGTGCTATTTTAGATAGGATAGTTGATAAGGCCTCCTTGAAGGGTGACATTTGAACAGAGATCCAACTGTAGAGAGAAAGTCATAACAATGTGGATGGGGGGCAGATACTGTCCAGGCTCAGAGAACAGCAAATACAAATGCCCGAAGGCAGAAGCGTGCTTGCTATGTTCTCTGACTGCGAGAAGGCCCTGCAGCCGGAGTGGAATAAATGAGGAAGAAATGATAGGAAATGAGGTCAGAAAGATATCCAGATATCCAGAAGACTGGTTTCTAGGTTATGATAAAAACTTTGGATTTTGTTTGAAATGTAATGGGAATTCATCAGAAAATTTTAAGCAAGCAACTGACTTGAAATGTTGTTTAACATGAATATGTTATAATGGTATATATATACTATAATATACTATAATTGTATTGCAGTTTCTCACATAAGAAATAATATAGGCTTTGACTCAGGTGGCTCAGGTGGAGGTGGTGCTAAGCAGTCGGGTTTATAATATAAAGAAAGAACTTACAGGACTATCAAAAGTACTGAATATAGGGCTTGAGAGAAAGAAAAGTGAAGAAAGAGCCCCAGTGTTTCTGATCTAAACAACTGGATGGTGGTATCATTTACTGAGATAAGAAATGCCAGGGGAACAAGATTGTGTGAGAAAAATCACAAGTTCAATTTTCAACATGACACATTTGAGATACACAGTAAATATTCAAGTAAATATGTTATAGGCAATTGGATATATAAGTCTGGAGCTCCAGGTAGAGGTTACTCCTGGAAATAAAGATTTGGGAGTCACCAACTGCAGGGATTTATTTGAAGATATGGGATTGGATAATATCATTTGAGTAGTAAATTACAATGGCTAAAAACATTCTCATATTTTTAAACTACTCCAAAATCAACAAAAAGCTGGCATAATTTGAAGCTAAGTTTCTAGGCCATAAATAAGTTGTTGTAAGAGAGCTCACTCCACTGCATGAACTCCAGAACTATTACATTATTTGATAAATAAATCTGCTAAAGCTTCTTTTGTGTATCTGGTTCCCATGACCATTTGATACTTTTCAAGGATTAAGTTTCCACTTATTACACAACTATTCTATGGCATAAGAATGTTCAACTTGATATGATGCCCATAATAAGTTTCTTAGGTCAAATCCAAATGTCCCAAGTTCCACTTTTGTTAATAGACTTCATGTTGTACAGGTTATATGCACAGTATTACCATGCTCAGGACTGACCTGAGGGAAAGAGCAGCCAAAATGCAACAGCAGAGTGCACACAGCATACACTAGAAACACTTCTTGAAGTGCCAGGCCTTGGACAATGTACGACTCTTTTTTAATATAGCATTACTCTCAGGTGCAGGAAACATAACAAGCTTTCATAACACACAAAAGACAGAAACTTAGCCAAAATGACAAGATGGAGGAATTCTTCCCGAAAGAAAGGTCAGGAAGATATCACAGCCAGGGACTTGCTCTAAGCAGATATAAACAATATGTCTAAACAAGAATTTAAATCAACAGTTATAAGATTACTAGCTGGACTTGAAAAAAGCATAGAAGACACCAAAGAGACCCTTGCTGCAGAGATAAAAGGACCTAAGACTAGTCGGGCTGAAATTAAAAATGCTATAACTGAGATACAGAACAGGCTGGATATAATCACAATGAAGATGGAAGAAACAGGAATGAATAGGTGATATAGAAGATAAAATTAAGGAAAATAATGAAGCTGAAAAAAAGAGGAAAACAAAACTATTAGATCACGAAGGAAGACCTAGGGAACTCGGTGATTCCATAAAGTGAAAAATATCTGTATCATAGGAGTCCCAGAAAAAGAAGAATGGGAAAAAGGGGCAGGAGGTTTATTTGAACAAATTATAGCTTAATTTGAGAACTTAACTAATCTGGGGGAAGGAAACAGGCATTTTAGTCCAAGAGGCACAGAGAATTTCCCTCAGAAATCAACAAAAACAGGTGACCACCACAACATATCATAGTGAAACCTGCAAAATACAAAGATAAAGAGAAAATTCTGAAAGCAGCTCAGGAGAAAAAGTCCTTAGCCTACAAGGGTAGACACACAAGGTTAGCAGCAGACCTGTCCACAGAGACGTGCCACAAAGGACTGGCATGATATATTCAACATACTAAATGGGAAAATATGCAGCTGGGAATACTTTATCCAGCAAGGCTGTCATTCAGAATAGAAGGAGAGATAAAGAGTTTCCAAGACAAGCAAAAACTAAAAGAGTTTGTAAACACTAAACCAGCTCTGCAAGAAATATGAAAGGTGACCCTTTGAGCAGGAGAGTGAGACCAGAAGCAACAAAGACTAGAAAGAAACAGAGACAATCTACGGGAACAGCAACTTTACAGGTAATACAATGGCACTAAATTCATCTTTCAATAGTTACTCTGAATGTAAATGGACTAAATGCTCCAAACAAAAGAAACAGGGAAGCAGAATGGATAAAAAAAAAAAAATCCAAAAAACAAACAAGACCCATCGATAATGCTGCTTACAGGAGACTCATTTTAGACCCAAAGAAACCTCCAGATTGAAAGTGAGGGGATGGAGAATGATTTATCATGCTAATCGACATCAAAAGAAAGCAGGAGTAGCCATACTTATATCAGACAAACTAGATTTTAACCCAAAGACTGTAATAAGAGATGAAGAAGGGCACTATATCATAATAAAGGGGTCTATCCAACAAGAAGATCTAACAATTGTAAATATTTATGCCCCTAACTTGGGAGCAGCCAAAAATATAAACCAATTAATAACAAACTTAAACTCATTGATAATAACACAATAATAGTAGGGACTTTAACATCCCACTCACAGCAATGGACAGATCATGTAAGCTGAAGATCAAGAAGGAAAGAAGGGCTTTGAATGACACACTGAACCAGATGGACTTAACAGTTATATTCTGAGCATTTCATCCTAAAGCAGCAGAATACACATTCTTTTCAAGTACATGTGGAACATTCTCCAGAATAGATCACATAGTGGGTCACCAGTCAGGTCTCAAACAGTGTAAGAAGACTGAGATTATGCCATGCAAATTTTCAGATCACAATGCTATGAAACTTGAAGTCAACCACAAGAAAAAATTTGGAAAGGCCACAAATACATGGAGGTTAAAGAACCCTATTAAAGAATGAATGGGTTAACTAAGAAATTAAATAAGAATTTTAAAAAATACATGGAAGCAAATGAAAATGAAAACACGACAGTATAAAATCTTTGGGATGCAGCAAAGGTGGTCCTAAGAGGGAGGAAGTACATAGCAATACAGGCCTTCCTCAAGAAGCAAGAAAAGTCTCAAATACACAACTAATCTTACACCTAAAGGAGCTGGAAAAAGAACAGCAAATAAAGCCTAAATTCAGCAGGAGAAAAGAAATAACAAAGATAGAGCAGAAATAAATGATATAGAAACCAAAAATACAGTAGAACAGGTCAATGAGAGTAGGAGCTGGTTCTCTGAAAGAATTAACAAAATTGATATCCTCCTAGTCAGACTTATCAAAAAGAAAAGAGAAATGACCCAAATAAATAAAATCATGAATGAAAGAGGAGAGATCACAATCAACACCGAAGAAATACAAACAACTATTAAGAGAATATTATGAGTAATCATATGCCAATGAATTAGGCAATCTGGAAGAAATGGATAAATTCCTAAAAACATATAAACTACCAAAACTGAAGCAGGAAGAAATAGAAAATTTGAAAAGGCCCATAACCAGCTAAGAAATTGAATCAGTAATCAATTCGCCCAACAAACAAGAGTCCAGGGCCAGATGGTTTCCCAGGGGAATTCTACCAAACATTTAAAGAATTAATACTTATTCTTTTTAAACTGTTCCAAAAAACAGAAATGGAAGGAAAACTTCCAAACTCATTCTACGAGGCCAGCATTACCTCGATTCCAAAACCAGAAAAAGACCCCACTACAAAGGAGAATTACAGACCAATACCCCTGATAAACATGGATGCAAAAATTCTCAACATGTTACTAGCTAATCAAATCCAACAGCACATTAAAAGAACTATTCACCGGGGCGCCTGGGTGGCTCAGTTGTTAAGCATCTGCCTTCGGCTCAGGTCGTGATCCCAGGGTCCTGGGATGGAGCCCCGCATCGGGCTCCCTGCTTGGCGGGACGCCTGCTTCTCCCTCTCCCACTCCCCCTGCTTGTGTTCCCTCTCTCGCTGTCTCTCTCTCTGTGTCAAATAAATATATAAAATCTTTAAAAAAAAAAAAAAGAACTATTCACCATGACCAAGTGGGATTTATTCCTGGGATGCAGGGGTGGTTCAATATCTGCAAATCAATCATCATGATACATCACATTAATAAAAGAAAGGATAAGAACCATAT